TCCTTTATAGCCTTTGTTAATGGGTAAGTGAAATGAAAGTTGGTATTAGACTCTATTAAGCATTAGGCTTGGATACCTATGGGGGTCAGGTCTCACCCGGAGGACTCAACGAAGCTCTAGAACATTCTAGAACATCAGAGCGAGACCTCAGTCACGGTGGGACTGAAACACAGAGTGGAGAGCAGACACCCAGAATCCCACACCATCCTGCCTCCCTCGCTCTGTGTTTAAAACAGTTTGTTCTGTGTTCTGCAGAGCAGTGAGCATGGTGCGAGCACTGCTTTTGCTTCAGAACCAAAGTGGGTGTCTGAAATCTGTTCGTCTCCCCCGGCTGCACGCGGCTGAGGAAGCTGGTGCCAGAGGTGGTCAGACACTGGTCTGTGGAATCCACAATGGGCAGGCCGTGTGGTGGCAGGGGGAGGGCGAGGGCAGGAGGCACAGCCTCTGCTCTTCAGGCGGGAAGCGGGAAGAATGTTCAAGACCTTCAAAGCAAGGGCCATTTAGCATACTGGCTGCCAGGCCCTGGGAGGGTGGCCAGATGCCCCCATCGCCTCCCGCCAGTTCGTAAAACCACCTTAGGAAAACCCAAGGGTAAGCATGAGCCCCCTCAGTGCCTCACTTTGCAATTATGTTCTGTAAATAATTCTTGCTTCCATCCCTCCCAGGGAATTCCAGCGCCTTTGGTCCATAGTGGTTTTAGACATTTGTTTCAGATGCCAACGGAAATGCAAGTGGCGTAAGGTAACCACGTGAGGTCCATGAAGGACGTAAGTAGAGGTTTCTCTCCAAAGCATTATTATTCATCACTGTGAGGAAAGACAGTTCCTTCTCTTCGTGCAGCCTCCATGGGCTTAGAACTAGTGGGCGGGTTTGCAGGGGGCGGAATGTGAAACAAGCATGCCAGTGCATCTGGAGGGACCAGTTTCTGAGGTAGGATAAGGATCCCCTGAGGTTTCTGGCGGTGTCCATTTGGTCTAGGGGACAGAGGACGTGGAGAGGAGCCCTCAAGCTGTGGGAGCCCACATGAGTGGATTAGCATCTTACTCCTCCCAGTCATCCGTGTGCACAGCAGCCCTGTGGGGGGCGCTCATGATTCCCATTTTACAGGCAGAGGCAATCCGATGCAGAAAGTTTAAGTAGTTACCCACGTTCACACGGCTACTTGATGCAGAGCCAGGACTTGAACTCAGGGCCGAAAGATCCCAGAGTTCATGCTGTTTCAACTGTGAAGTTTGACTAGTGTGCATGCAGGGGTGGGCTAGAGAGTCTGAACTTAATGTGACAGCTCTAGGGGGGCCATTGGTGACTGGAGAGGAGGGGCGTGGTGAAAGCAGCCTTTCGTGACCTACATCAGACAGCCGTGACCAGGGCGAGTTGTGGAGATGGTCAAGTCCAGAGTGTGAATTACCACTTTTGGAGACAGGGTGACATAAGCCTCTGATGAGAGACTCCAAGAGTCCTGACCCCCGGGCAAGATAACAGTGACTTAAAATTGTCGAGCACTTGATATGTGGTGGGCACTGCGCGCGATGCTTTTGTACAGAGAGATCATTTAATCCTTGCAGCTCGGTGAGCATGTGCTGTCATGGCCGGCTGTGCAATGCAGGGGTGAAAAGCCTGGAACCACAAGGAAGGCAAACTTGACGCACTGCCTGTGAAAAGTCTCTCTACCTTGTGACCCTGGAAAAATCATTCTACCTCTGAAGCTGTTTCTAAATTTTTACAATGGTGGTAATACTGGTACCAGTTGAGGAAGGTTGTTGGGGGTGGGGTTCAAGGGGATTCTACATAGGAAGTGTCGAGCCAGCTGCAGGACTGTCGTGGAGTCAGCACTTGTAGCCTGTTAGCTGGTATAATTATAACCATTGTTACACCCATTGTACGGACGTGGAAACGGAAGCTGGAAAGGTTAAGTTGATTTTCCCACAGCCACACAATAAACATCAGTACAGGGGTAGTCTGACCCCAGAAGGAACACTGTCGTTCATCCTGGGAGGAGATGTTAATGATATTAATGAGGTAGTAATGAACTGCTGTCGCTATGACTATCTTTCTCCTCGGTGAAGTTCGCAGTGTAGCCATGCCCTCCTCTCTACATGAAGAGCCGGATAAGGCTGCACTTGCTCACAGCTCTGCTCTGTGCACAAACTGCTCGTGCATACACGGTCCTGTCTAGCTCATAGTACATGAAGCAAGGGCGTTGGAGCACACAACCAACTCCCACATCTAGTGTGTTGACCTCTACCTCTCCACCAACACGAATGGTCTCAAGGAAGTACGTGTAGGTGGGCTGTATCAGAGACCATTTTTATTGAGTTCCAACGATGCTCTTAGCGTCGTCCTCCTGAGAGCTTTCTGTGTTCCTCGTGTGCTCAGTGCAGGAAGATGCAGGTCGCTCTGCCTTTCGCGGTCATAATGTAGCTGGTGACTGGTTTCCGCAGAGGCATTTCCATGGGAATGATTACATTTCTTTTGTAATTAAGTTTGGAACTTTTCCGCCCCACCCCAAGAGGCACCTGACAGTGCATCAGGTGGATGAGTATAACTGCCTTGTGACTCCACTTATGTGCCTCCTTCTGTGGGTGGGTTCTTTATGTGGTCAACTTTTTTTGGTATTTAATGAGGTTCTGTGGCCACCTGCTGAGGCTTATAGAGCTTCTATATTCTCCTCACTATTAATAAAGGACACACTACATATATTTGGGGCATTTAACGGGGGAGCGGTTCCTCAGGATAGTAGGGTGCTGATGAAAGCTTTTGTTTTTTGGACACGACATTCAAGAGCCATACAAAATACAGTCTCAGACACTGAATCCTTCCCTTTTGCTTTATGTTTAAACCAAGGACATTCCTCTTAGCCTTCATTCACACATTCATTCACTCATGCATTTCCTCACCCTCCATTAACTGATGTGTCATGTGCCAAGCCTTCTGCCAGGTTCTGGGGACAGAAGGATGAGGACAGCAAAATCTCTGCCCTTGAGCAGTTCACTGTCTTGTTGAGGATGATTTAAAATGATTAATCAATCCAAGAATATTGGATTTCTCCAAAAGCTACTATAGGGAAAAAGGTAATTATCCAAAGTCTTTAAATCTGTTTCCCACTTTAATTGATTTAATTAGGTTAAAATTCATAGAACTGTAATATTGGAAAGGGCCCAGAACGTGTTTATTTCTGTTTTTTCCTCTCTGCCTTTAGGACACACTACATTCAGATTATCCCCCAAACCCATGCATTTTGGGAAAAGGGAATATTTTAAAGAACTATGACTTTTGGCCCATTCAGATAAAACTTTCTGTCCAGTGAGTGCCCACAGGAAAAACAATGCAGACTTATTGAAAGAGTTGACGTGCACAGCTACAAAGTATTGTTTTAAAATATGTGAATGGAATCATCTACGCTTAACACACGCACACACACACCGTGGAATCCCCATATTTATACTACTGAGTTTGTGTTAAGAGCAATCCGATGAATACAGGTGAATACATGGTGAATACAGAATGCAAAATGAAAGCATGGCTATGATATGATAAGGACCTTTGAAAATTCTTTCAGTTCCCAGAAAAAAAAAAATATCTCAGCATTCGTCAAATCCTGTTTCTTTATAACACAGAGCCATACCTTCTCTTTTCTTGGCATTTTTACACCATAGTTCGAGCATCTGCTATATGCACATCATCGATGATCCCAAGAAGGCTGTGGTTTGTTTTGGAAAGGGGGCCAGAGGTGGAATCAGAGCCTGAGTTTGGGTACTTATAGCTGTGACCATTTTAAGCCTCTTTCCCCCGGCTAACAATATACCAACCTCACAGGATCGTCATGGAGATTTGACAAGTTAAGGAGCGTAAAGGTAGTTTATAAATTGAACGACTCTCTGCATCACCTGCCTTTTCTAAATGGCAATCTGTTCTGTGATCAGATCACAGACTTGGGGAGTTGTTAGAACCATGAGCAGTCCTTCAACCCAGAAGTTACCATGTCACTTTCCAGCGTAAGAGCTTTCAGCAGCTCCCCTTTATGCTCAGAATAAGGCGTAGGCCTCTGAATGTATCCCCTGAGGCCATAGATGATGGGGTTCCTGCCAGGCCTGCAACATCATCTCATCCCCTCTGTTCACCAACCATAATGCGTTTATCTCCAGTTCCTGGAATAGTCAAGGTGTATCCTCAGGGCTCCTCTGACTGTAAACATCCACCTATTTCCCCCTTCCAGGCCTGGATTCTCCTTCGCCATCCCCTCAGCCTGCAGTTCATGGAAGTTGCTCTTCCTCAGATTCCCACCAGCTCTATGAAGACAGAGTCCATGTCTGTGTCTGTCTGTATATTATTATTTCTCCAAGCTCTTAATTGGTGTTGTTGTATAGTTTGGTGTTCAACAAATAGTTGTTGATTGAGCAGATAGATGTCCACCCAACATTCATTATACTCCATATTATACAGGAGTCTAGAATTCAGGTGATAGAAATCCTACTCAACCTGGCTGAAGCAAATATGGGAAGCTGTTGGTTTATATAAGCAACAGGTCCAGAGTAATGGCTTCAGGCACGGCAGAATCCAGGTGGTCTAAGTGTGTTTTTTCTGTCTCCATTTTCTGATGTTGTTTTGTCTCTGTTGGCTTCATTTTCCTGTTTTGAGCCTAGAGGCCAGAGAGAGTTCATTCTGTTGGAACCATATAGACTCAAAGATGAGATGGATGGGATGAACTAGAGGAAAAAGAGGAGAATAGATGATAAGCGGCAAAATAAAACAGATGTTCTTCACTCTGCCAGGCGATGGGCTCCAAGATCAGGGGCCTCTCTTATCTTTGTATTCCGGTATGTGTTCCAGAGTGTGGCATAGAGTAGGTGCTCAGGAATGTTTGAGAATGAATAGACGTCTGACTTATTTTCCCTCACTTCTAGGAAGGAGCTTCTTTAAGCCTATGAAGACAGAGGGTGCTTTATAAATTTCTTTTGGCCTCATCCTTTGTTTTCTTTTTTGTTTTTACCTGTCGACAGGACCCGACGTCTACCTTCTTCCAGTTTGGCGCATCCATCCAACAACAAGCCACGGTCATGCTGAAGATCATGCAGGATTATGACTGGCACGTCTTCTCCCTGGTGACCACCATCTTCCCTGGCTACAGAGACTTCATCAGCTTCATCAAGACCACAGTGGACAATAGCTTTGTGGGTTGGGACATGCAGAACGTGATCACCCTGGACACTTCTTTCGAGGATGCCAAGACTCAAGTCCAGTTGAAAAAGATCCATTCTTCTGTCATCTTGCTCTACTGTTCCAAAGATGAGGCCGTCCTCATCCTGAGTGAGGCCCGCTCCCTTGGCCTCACTGGGTACGACTTCTTCTGGATTGTCCCAAGCCTGGTCTCTGGGAACACGGAGCTCATCCCCAAAGAGTTTCCGTCAGGACTCATTTCAGTCTCTTACGACGACTGGGACTACAGCCTGGAGGCGCGAGTAAGGGACGGCCTGGGCATCCTAACCACTGCTGCGTCTTCCATGTTGGAGAGGTTCTCCTACATCCCTGAAGCCAAGGCCAGCTGCTACGGGCAGGTGGAGAAGCCAGAGATCCCGCTGCACACTCTGCACCAGTAAGAGGGGGCTCTTTGCTCGGGATCAGAGTTTCATTGTTGTTATTGTTCATGGTTTAAATACTAAGAGCCATACATACTCGTTGTCAAAAGTGTGCACGGAAAATAGAGAATGTTGTGTGTGCTTACGGGAATTTTTTGTTTGATTCTACACTTCTCTCCCCTCTCACTCCCTTCTCATCTCCTCTTTAAGAAACTTCGCACTTTGTTTTCTGCAACTTAACTTTTTTTATTCAATAATAACCTTGGAAACCTACACTTGATCTTTATCTGTCTGTCTGTCTTTCTATCTGTCTGTCTATCTATCCATCCTCTAGCTATATTTCAAGTATGTATGTGTATATATGTAGATATATACGCATATTCACATGTATGAGTATATGTAGATATATGTATAGATATACATACAAATGAATGCATACACATGCATATACATATGTATGAATACATGTAGATATGTGTGTATGTAGGTATCTATCATGTGTATGTGTATATGTAGACATATACATACATATACACATATATACGAATATCTATATTCTTTTAACCTATACATTATTTTCCTCAGTAGGGACACACCATGCTTTATTTACTCAATCTTCATAATGCTAGAAATTTAGGTTGTTTTATTTTTTTCCCATTAAAAACTAAACTGCAGTGACAGTCATCCTATATGTTTCTTTGTGCACATGTACAAGTATTTCTCTAGGGTTGATTCTAAGAAGTAAGTTTTGGGTGTCGTAGAGCATGTGCATTTTAAAATTCAAATATCTATTGCCAGATTCCCCTACAAAGTAACTACACCAGTTTAAATTCGCTCAGCAGTTTGTGAAAGTACTTGACTTTCCACATCCTCCCCAACGTGTTACGTTTTGGGAAAACTGCCCTTGCCGGTGCCCCTAGTCTCCATTTGAGGGTGTGTCTAAATTTCTTTCCTTCTGATGTCCTAAGTATCTCTTTAAGTCATTGGACATCTTGGCAAAGCATCACTTTTACAGCTGCGTTGTAGCCCATCACATGGATGTATCATAATTCATATACCTCCCCCTATCTCGGTGGACACTTACGTTACATTTTATGTTTCCGAGAAGTGTCGTTGTTCTCTGTGGCCCATCATTATGGCTCAGCTGCTGAGATTTAGAATGATCACACTCATACACCCATTTTGCATGTTTTTACCTGATGTTCCCTGATTTAATTCATGCTCATCCCTCAGATAATGAGCAGTGTGGCACTGTGATTAAGGGACCAGGCTCTGGAATTAGATTTGTCAGGGTTCAATCTTGTCTCATCCACTTTCTATATGACTTGGACAATCATTTTACCCTTATGGGCCTCAGTCATTCATTGCAAAACAACGATAATAGCCCCTACTTTCTAGGCAGGGTTCTCAACCTTAGTACGCACCAGAATCACCAGGATGGCTTATTAGATTGGATCACTGGCCCCACGCTCAGAGCCTTGAATTCAGAAGTTCTGGGGTGGGCTCTAAGAATTCGCAGTTCTAACAAGATCCTGGGTGCTGCTGATGTTGCTGGTCTGGGGACCACAAGTTGAGAACTAATGTTCTAGGTTCTGCTGTGAGTATGACATGAGGGGATGCATGAAAAGTGCTGCTTAGCACAATGCCTGGCACCTGGTAATCACTGAGGGACTGTCACAGTGATCAGTGAAGTTGTTTTTGGCATCAGAAGTTACAGTCAGCAGACTACTTTGGTCTTATTATATCAACAGAATAAAACGTCACTCGAAAACGTTTCTGGAAGGTTTTAGGACTTTGAATCTACACAGTTCAGGGATTATCTTGGGGCCAGGTCTGCATGTATGCATGTATGTGCGTGCATGCGTGTGTGTGTGCGTGTGCGTGTGTGTGTGATATGTGCATAAAATTGACATTCCCCTGAAAAACAAACTCTTGAATTAAGAAATCATGGTCCTTTGAAATTTTCCCTTTCCCTCTTCTCCCTCGCTCTTTAAGGATCTTGTTTCCACGTTGCCACTTGCAGCATTTTAAATGATCGTTCTAACACCAGGAAGGAACTCGGATAAATCAGTAGGAGACGTGGAGCCTCTTCCAGAGGCAGGACTGCTGCCAGCCCGAAGACAAGGGCTGGCCTTATTATCACTTCTTACTTTTCATAACAAGAAGTGCCCCACAACTGGACTATTCAGAAATATATAATTTTGGTGGAAACATAACTGAATTTTAGGACAGTCGAAATATAATATATGCAGGAAAAGGAATTTGAGAAGGATAATAGGCAAGACATTCAGATCTCTTCCCAGAGACCACCCCAAATTTCAGTCCTGAAAAAAAGGAATCATGCTGTGAAATGCTGCTGTGCTGTTTCCAAGAGTCATGCTTTTGAGTGCTGCAATTTCATAGATGGGTTTTCAGCCCCAGAGAAGTAATGCGTCAAGTGTGGTGAGCCGTCATCCGCTGCCTGGTATTTAGTGAAACAGCTTTCCATTTACGGTGTGCTGGCAGTACGCACCCAGTGTGAGAGGCTGGAATCTGGCACAGGCAAAGCTCCTTACCACACTTCTCCATCATCACAGTGTTTCTTAAACACACCCTGGGATAGAGTGGGACCTTTCCAAACCAGGCAAGGACTGGGAGCTTGAGAAAAAGCCCAAAGAAGGCAGTTTTTAAGAAAAGGATTAAGGGCGCTATATCTTTTCACCCTCCATCCATCACTGCTACCATCCAACAGACCCTGTGCTAGCCCCTGTAAAAATGTCAAACTTCTCAAAGGATGTACAGTCTGCCGAGGATAGGGGAAATTTGTCTAAAGACAACTCAGATATTAAGAATTTTTTTTTAATATTGAAAAAAAAAAAGTACAGAAAAGCACAGAATCCAATAAAATACCCACCCTAATGCTTACTGCAGAGAACAAAGGTTAACACATCACATTTGTTTTAAAATTTTAAAAGAAAGAAAACATTTCCGACAATGGAGAAACTCTCATCATAGCCCTGTCCCACTTTTCTTCCTTCTCTCTGTGGGAGGGGAAAACACTACAATAAATTTGGTATTAGTCAAATCCATGTACATGGTTTGTATTTCAAGATAGATGTAGGTGCGATCTTAGACCTAATATGGTTCTTTGTAGGGTACACAAATGGCATCTAACGTGTTAGAATTTCTTTACCTCAACCTCGTTTTCAAGATTGATCTCTGAAGATACATATAATCCTAGCATATTCCCCTCAGTTGCTGTTTTGCATTTTGTTGTATAAGTGTTCCATGTTTTATTTAGTCATATCCTTCCCCCCACCCCCATCCCCCTTTTATAGACACTGAGGTTTCTGATAGGAAGGGATCTTCAGTCTGGATGGCTCAAGGCAGAGGACAGATGTGTCTGCAGCCTGAGTTGGACCCAACAGCTTGTTCAGTGGAAGCTTAGGACTCTAGATTCAGGGGTTCTCACTTCAAGCTTTAAATTTACTTTTTTTCAACTGAATTAGTCTCATTTTGCAAAGCAGCCAATAAACAAATAGCTCTCATTACTCCCCCTGTGTAGAAGGGAGGATGCAAGTGGCTTCAGAAGATGTGCAGATGAAGCCACACCTGACGGATCTGGAGACCAGCTGTGACTGGCTGCACATGGCATTTTGGGGCTAGCTAGTTATGTCCCTTGGCAGCCCTCATGGACATCCCTTGTAGTAGTATGCACAGAGCTTGCGTAGTTAGGATATTGTGACAATGACTTATTATTTATGATGCTGGACAGATATGAAGGACTGCTTGCTCAGGATGACGTGCTAACGATCTTATTGTGGATCTGTTTCTGTTTCTGGGATTTCAGAATTTAAAAAGTAGGGGAAAGGGGGAAGTGTTCTTTATGTTTAATATTCCTGGTTTTACAGAAGGCACTTTGAAAAGAGCAGTCAGCATTTTCCGAAGTTCAAAAATAGCTCAGCCGTGTTATGTAACCTCCTCCTTGCTACTGCAAAGTTATTAAACATCTGTTCCTTCGCCAAGCACAGAGCATGTCACTGGCAACTCCCAGAACTGTGAAGGTAAACCATTACCTGTTTTGCTGGTGTGGAGCCTAGGCTGTTTTGCCCAGTTCTGTCCCAAGAATCCATCCAATTCACTGGTGGGTGGGGCCCCCGGGGAGGCAGGGTGGTATCACAGTTAAAAGTGTGGGCCCTGGAGCCAGGCCGCCCGGTTCGAATCCTTGATCTGAACTTTCTTAGATCCAAGACTTTGGGCAAGTTACTTAATTCCTTCAAATCTGCCTCCTCTGATGAAACATGGAGGTAAGAAAGGTATTTACCTCTTAGCCCCACAGTCTGGCATGTCGAAAGCAGTCTATAAATGATTACCGTGTAATTGATAAAATGTGTGTGTGCATGCACATTCATGTGTGTTTCCCCTTCTACATTGGAGGGGACACATTTCACATTTATGGAGGAGGAGGTCATAGAAGGGAGAGGTAGATGTTTTTCAGGTCTAAACCCTCTTGCCAAAGGATTACCTTGGGAGGAATCTGGCCAGAGGAAGAAGGGCATTGTGGCATTGAGAAATTCATGGGCTGGGTAATATGGCAGAATTGGTTTTGAATTAGCCACATACTGACCAAGTATAAATAACTAACCACTCTGAACTCAGGTTTCTTCCTAAAATGCATGTGTGTGTGTGTGTGTGTGTGTGTGTGTGTGTGTGTGTGTGTGTCTGTGTGTTACAGTCATCTCTTCTTATTGTAGCAGAATGAAATGTAAGTAGATATGTATAACTCTTCTTATTGTGCCTACTACCTGCCAGGCACAATAAGAAGTGTTATACATACAACAATAACAATAACTGTTATTGCTGTCTTCTTATTTTCACTATGATGATAATGATGATCATTATTATTATTATTACTTTAACTTATACTGGTTATACAGAAAGCTATACACAGGCAGGGAAGTGAAAAATGGAAGTATACTTCAATCTTGTTTTTTAACAACTGAGTTACAACTATATGTCCTGTTGCTCCCGATTTAGT